CCTGGGCACTATATCTGAGCTTTTGTGCTCAAGGCTAACACTCTACCACTTAAGCCACAGCTCTACTTCCCATTTTCTGGTGGTTCATAGAAGATAAAGTCTCATGGATTTTCCTGCTCTGGCTCCTCAGTAGCTAAGAACATACCTTTATATATATTAGCTAACAGTATTTCTTCTGAGAACTGTCTAATTTCCTGGCCCATTTTTAACTGGATTGTTATTTTGCTATTTAATTTTTTCAGACATTTGTATACTCTGTATATTACGTTTCTTTTTTAGCAATTGTGTTTTTAATCTGATCTTCAAAAACCAATAAAACCTTTCTCTTCCCAGAAGATTTATTCTTTAAGAATAAATCTAAGACCCCAAAACACTTTTCAGCTTTTTCTTTTAATCTTTTTGAGTGCTAAGAATGAAATCCATGGCCCCAGGCATGCTAATGCAACAGCCTTTATCTCTATGATCTTCTGACTTTGGTAGCCTTTTCTTTCCTTCCCTCCCTCCTCCCCCTCCCCGCCCCCCTTCTTCACACTTTCCCCTTTGGGCTCAGGCAGCCACTTTCTCCTGCTTTTCTTCTAATTGCTTTGGCTTTTGCTCCTTATTCTCCTTTAGAGAATAAGGTTCCTCTTATTCAACCTAACCTTGAATTGTTTCCTCAGACTACTGACCCAACACTCATTTTCCCATAAAAACACTCTTGTGACTTTCAGTCATGCATTCTATCAGCAAGTATTTATAAAACGTCTACGATATAAAAGGTAGGTTTCAAGTACTTCATATTGTTTTAAGCATTCATACTTTAACAATCTGATGAATCTCTACCTATCACCTCTTCTCCTGAGGTTGAGACCTATGTACTCAGGGGCAGGCTCAGTTTTTTTCTACCTAGACACAAAAGAACTCAACAATCTCAACTGAACACATCTCTTGTCTCTCACTTATCCCATCTCCCTCTAAGAAATCCTCAAACTTAATTTCTTCCCTCAAGTTCTTATCTCCATGAATTATACATCTACCCAATGACCTAAAGGAACTGTCAAATCTATAAGTTTGTTCCATCTGCCTAAATACCACAAATAATTGGTTTCTGGTAAAAAAAAATATATATGTATATATATATATATATATATATATATATGTCTTTCCACTATGTATGGTAGCAGAATTTTCTTTGTTTCCACATTTCTTCCCTCAATTTCCATATAAATTCAAAAACCCCTGAAGCCCAGAGGGACTTCCTAAAATCAAGTTTGATCACTTTCCAATTCAAAAACTTTCAAAGGCTTCCCATGACCCTTAGGATAAAAGATAAAATCCTTTACAGGGCTTGAAGGCCTTCCAGATTTGTACAAGTTTTCTGTTAACTCCTCCTCTTACATTATATGTTAATAAACACCAAATTTACTTCTACTCCTCTAAAGGGCCCTAGGCTTGGATCCTTCTCAATCTCAGCTTTTCATTATGTTAATTTATGCTCATATTAGCTTTCACCTTAAATGGCTTTTCCCTAAAACAAGCAATTACAGTGCCCTTCTAAGTACTCCTAGAGCACCCAACCATAGCACTAATTACTCACACTATAATTACTTATTCACTAGTGCATTAACACTGGGAAGGCAGGAACTGTTGTTACAGTCACCATTTTATTCTAAGAGCCTAGTATGGTATGTTCTCAAACTCTGGTGACTAAAAGAACATAAAATTCAATAAATAACCTTTTTTTTTTTTTTGTGGGGCTTGAACTCTGGGCTTGGGTGCTGTGCCTGCGCTCTTAAGCTCAAGGCAAGCGCTCTACCATTTGAGCCACAGCGCCACTTCCGGTTTTAGAGTGGTTTATTGGAGATAAGAGTCTCATGGAGTTTCCTGCCAGGGCTGGCACTGAACCGTGATCCTCAGATCTCAGCCTCCTGAGTAGCTAAGATTACAGGCATGAGCCACCGGCACCTGACCCAATCTTGGTTTTCAATCAATGAATAAAAAGTCAAAACTCAAAAGATCATAATTATTGCCATCAATCTAAAGAAAAACAAAATACAGGCACCACAGCAGGAGAGGTGTGGCTGTGGCAAAAGTGATAAGAGTACTTGCCTAGAAAGTAAGCTGCTCAGGTGAAACTAATCAAGATGTACTATACACATAAATGATAATATATGGACGTGCTAAAATGAAATCCCTTTGTACAACTATTTGAAGAACATAATTAAAAGAAAAGAGAGATCCTGAGTTCAATGCCCAGCATCACCAAAGGGGGAATAAAAAATAGAATGACAGTTACATTCTGCCTCAATTTTGTTACCATTGTAAAAATTAAAAGTTCAGGAGCAGTAAGCCCCAGCACAAAATAAAAAGTAAAAAAATAAAGCATTGGATTTTAGAAAATAAATCCTTATCCATTTCAGATAACATAAGAAAGTATCAAAACTAATGACCAATAATAGTTTTATTTTATATCTAATTTCAAGTATTCTCATCTGGCAATTCTCTAGCATTTCAATATTTAGCTTCAGGCCAACAAACAAACTTATAGACCAGCCTATTTGCCACTCACACAAGGCCAGATATGTGCATTTTTATTCTCAGACACCAGTTTGCTTCTCTTGCTTTTGATTCACATTCACAAAAAAAGGAGTGTGTGTGTGTGTGTGTTGGTCCTGGGGCTTGAACTCTGGGCCTTGGTTGGTGGGGGGGGGGGGGGGGTCCTGAGGCTTGAACTCTGGGCCTTGGTGCTGTCCCTGAGCTCTTCAGCTTCAAGCTAGTGCTCTACCACTTGACCCTCAGCACCACCTCAGCACCACTTCAGGTTTTCTGGTCGTTAATTGGAGAGATAAGACTCTCACAGACTTTCCTGCTTGGCCTGACTCTGAATGAACCCTGATCCTCAGATCTCAGCCTCCTGAGTAGCTAGGATTACAGCTGTGAGCCACCAGAGCCCATCATCATATGAGAATCTTCATGATTAAAAGTCTTTTATGCCTGGCGCTGATGGCTCTCACCTGTAATCCTAGCTACTCAGGAGGCTGAGATCTGAGGATCAGGGTTCAGAGTCAGGCTGAGCAGGAAAGTCTGTGAGTCTTATCTCTCCAATTAACGACCAGAAAACCTGAAGTGGTGCTGAGGGTCAAGTGGTACAGCACTATCCTTGAGCTGAAGAGCTGAGGGACAATGCCCAGGCCTAGAGTTCAAGCCCCCCCAACAATAAGAACATCAACAACAAAAAGATTCTCATATGGAATAATAGTTGATTTGAATAACTTTTTAGAAAGAAAAAGATAGTTGGGTGCTAGTGGTTCCTAACTGTAATCCTGGTTACTCAGAAGTCTCAGATCTGAGGATAGAGGTTCAAAATGAGCAAGAAAGTCCATGTAACTTTGAAACAGCTGGAAGTGGAACTATGGTTCAAGTGGTACAGTATTAGCTTTGAACAAAAAAAGAATAGGGACAATGAATACTCGGGCTGTGAATTCAAACCTCAGGGTGGGTGTGCATATATACATACACATACACATTTTTTCATGTTCCTTCTACATAAATAAATCTTACAGAATGGCAGGAATCATTCAAGGAGTTTGAATAATTTCTAGATGTCAAAAAGAAAAGTACAAAAATCTTTATTCACTCAAAGTGGTCTTTTTTTTTTTGGTCCGGTTGTGGAGCCTGAACTCTGGGCCTGGGCACTGTCCCTTAGCTCTTCAGCTCAAGGCTAGCACTCTATCACTTGAGCCATAGCGCCATTCCCGGTTTTTTTCCTTGTGCTTATGTGATGCTGAGGAATCGAACCCAGGGCCTTATGCATGCAAGGCAAGCGCTCTACCACTGAGCCACCTTCCCAGCCCCTCAAAGTGGTCTTAATTCAACAAGCAAGTATGTAGTGTCTCTAAAACTGGGATAGTCAAAGATGACAAACCCCCAGAACAATTTCTCTGCTTGTCAAAGGGGCATTACACACACACACACACCTGGACTATGATTCAATTTAACCACACACACACACACACCTGGACTATGATTCAGTTTAAACACACACACACACACACACACACACACACACACACACACACACACACACACACACACACACACACACACACACACACACACACACACACACA